AGGGACAGGTGCACTGGGGATGCAGTGGTGTGAGCTGCATCATCAGGACAGGTGCACAGGTAGGCATGGTGGATGGAGGGACAGGTGCACTGGGGATGCATGGTGTGAGCTGCATCATCAGGACAGGGGCACAGGTAGGCATGGTGGATGGAGGGACATGTGCACTCAGGATTCTGTGGTGTGAGCTGCATCATCGGGAGAGGTACATGGTAGGTGTGTTGGATGGAAGGATAGTTGGTGAATAGATTTTTTGCATTTTGGAAGGAAACGTCAGGTGGATTAATGGAAGGTGGAGTGTCTGATTGAAGATTCATATTGTATGCCTAAGAATGGTAGATTGGGGCAGATTCACTCTCTCATTCAATCCATCAGCCTTGACTTTAGCCTCCTCTCTGCAATTTCCACACAACCTGGTATACAACAAGGCACAGAGCAAATCTGTCCAGTGGAGTTACATTTACAGACAAGGGGACAGGGAATGAACAGAAAAATAGGATCTAGGTGTGAAGCTTGCTCTAAAGAAGTCCCAGCATTGGACTTCCCGCATAACCACTGTTCACACAGCACTTCCAGGGAGTCAACTTGTGCAGACAGGAGAGTAGGGGACGATGCGCATAGGTCCTACGCAAACACTGAGGTTATAGCACCTTCAGGTCTTGGTACCCACGTGGAGACCTGGGCCTTACCTTCCCAGGACACCCAGGGACGAGTGTCCTCGAAGGCCTAGGTCTTAGCTTCCTGTGCCCACCATGTGGTCCAACCGGACTCTTAGGACAGTCCCCACCTGGTCCTCCTCTCCTGCCTGTGTCCTCATGGGCTGTTCACACAGTGGCCCGAGTCACCCTCCTATATGTGAGCCAGGTCACATGGACCTTTGTTTCCTGTTCTCAGAGTTCCATTTCACTCCTAGTAAGTGTGGTTTGCAAGGCTAGGTGGCCGGGGCCCTGGCTGCCCTCTGGTCTCCTGCCCCACGGCCCAGCCCTACTGCCCATGGAACTGGCGTTCCCTCAGGGCTCTGCGTGGCGGGCCCTCTCCGGGGTGCACTCTTCCTCGGGTGCCCTTTAGGCTACTGTGTGAATCACTTCCTGCCTACACTCACGTATCGCCCACCACAGAGGACTGCTTTGCCCACCCTCCACGCAGCGTCGGCCCCTGCCCGCCGCCTCGGCCGTGGCTGGTTCATGTTTTCTTGCTGACATCACCACATGACACGCGCAAGTGTTTCATAATTGTCTGGCTTCCCTGCCAAAAGGTCTGCTCCAAGGTCAGGAACTCTGGGTCTCTCGTCACTGCAGATTCACCGTGAGCATAGTAATGAAGAAGTGGCGGGAAGATGCGGGGAGTCTGAGTGAATCCACGATTAGGAGATGGACGGCTTCATGAATGGCTGTGATGAGATGTCACAGGGAGGGTGCAGGGGAGGAAGGGAGGAGGACAGCGTGGCGGCGTTGGGAGTGAGGGAAGGGGGTGAGTGTGTGCACGGGAGAGGAGGAGCCCAGAGGAGGAGACGGCAGACCTGGGATAGGGGCGGAGATAACGAGATGGAAGAAGTAGGTTGGAGTGGGTGAGGCGGCAGGGTTTCAGCTGGGTGCTGTGTGGAGAGAGGGACTCATGGGAGGGGGACCTGCGGGAGGGCCAATGGGCAGAGGGAAAGGGGGAGAGGAGATGTGGAGAGGTGGATGGCGGGCGGATGGTCACCTGGAGGGACTGACAGGTCGGGGGTGTCGGTGGGTAAAGTAGGGGAGAAGAGCTAATGGGTGAGGGATCAGGAAAGGGGTCACGTGGTTGGAGTAGGAGCCGTGCAGTGGGGTGAACGGGAAGGGAGAAGTTGGGAAGAAGCATGTTTGCTTCAACATGTGGGTCAGGAAGTGGTGGGATAGGGTGGCTGGATGGGCAGAGGCGGGGTGAGGAGGGAGGTGGCTGGGCGTCCAGCAGCTGGGGAAGGATGGGTGTCTGGAGGAAGCTGGAGGATTGATGGGGGCGCCTGGGTGGAGTCCTACTGGGGCAGGATGGGGTGACCGAGGTAGGAACAGAGGAGAAGGAAGGGCAGACGAAACAAGAGTAATACTAAGTGGAGACCCAGGCCAGGCCCAGCCCTGGCTGGCTGTGTCTCGTGTGTCAACTCTTCTCAACAGCACTTAGAGGTATGTCCGTCCTCATCTGTAAAAGGAAGAGATTTAAGCATAAAGGTAGTTGGTGATTTAAGGTCTCACGGCTACTCAGAGGTGTGGTCAGGGCTCAAACATGCTCTGAATCAGAGCCACATGAGCCCTTGGGTAGTGTGTGCGGGATAAGGAGGTGGTGGTGGGAGGGATGATTACTGGTGTGTAAATAACTGGAGGAGGGAGGAAGGACAGATTGAGAAAGATCGCAGGGTGCAGAGATGAACAGGTCTGAGGCAGATGTGCTGGGTGCAGATGCATGACCCGGTAGGTTGACGAGAGGGGGAAGCAGGGAGGTCGGGCGGGAGGCTGGGAGGGGCGGACTTGGGCAAATGCAGACATGGATTCCTAAGGGAAGAATGGGTGAGTGTGTGGGGGACAGCAGGTGCCAGGGTGGATGAAACTGCGGATGACGGATGACGGACGTTCCTCAGCGACTGGCATTAGAGATGATCAGCAGGTTGATGCAGGAGCTGGTAGGGAGGGCTAGGAGAGCGGGAGGGAGGAAGCAGCACCCACGCTGTGTGCAGATGCAGAGATGCGGGTCTAGATGGCTGGAGGGAGGAGGAGGGTGCGCAGATGCCGGTCCCGCATGACTTAGTGACGGGTATGTTCTGAGTATTGCCCCGCCAGGGGGTTTCACCTGACATTTTGTTGATGTCATGGGGTGCACTTATGCAAACTAAGACAGGACATCACTTGGTGACACAATCTTAATGGAACTACTGTCAGATACATCGTCCTTTGTTGACTGAAGTGTCACATGGCTGTGTGAGGGTGTGTGGGTGGACAGATGGGTAAGTGGATGGAGGGCAGGTGGGTGGAAGGTGGACAGAGGATGGGGAGTTGGGTGGGTGGATGGATGAAGGATGGAGGCTGGGTGGACAGAGGGTATGTGTTTGGGAGGGTGGGTGGGTGGGTGGATGAGTGGAAGGTAGGGTGTAGGTGGATGGTTGGGTGGACAGTGGGGTGGATGCTGGTGTTGATGTTCAGAGCAGCAGCAGGTAAGCATGCCACCCAGTGAGTACTCACCCAGGGCAGCCCTCCCTCCCTCGTCGCCGACTCCTCCCACTGCCCTCTTGCTGGAAGCCTCCCAGCTGCCACTCCCTGGCTTTATCTGTCGCCTGCCCCCCCACCCCTCACCCCCCCCTGTCCAAGTTTGGGCTGCATGCCCTCCTGTGGATCTCCGTGCCAGGACCCCCACTGTCCTCTGGGCCTTTCTTTTCCCCTGTCTTGGCAGTGGCTGGGGATGCCACAGCACCGGCCACCTCGACTTCGGTCTTCCCCACGACGGACCCCAACCCCTTCCCCACGTGGCTCCAGGTCCCTCTCAGGATTGTCTTCCGCAGCCCATGGAGCGCGGGGCCTGGCTGACCGAGTGCTCCACCATGTAGCCTTGGTCCATACTCGGCTCTCCACATGCAATGCCCCACCCGTCCATCCTTCAAGGCCAGCGAAAGTGCTGCCTCCTCCCAGAGGTCTGCTGCCCCGGGCCCCACCTGGCCCCAGAGAGCAAAGTCACCCTCTTCTGTCTGAGATGTCCATCCACTCATCCAACCAACATGCTCTGGCCCTGTGTTGGCCACCCTGCTGGGACCCGGATGGCTCCACGATGAAGGGACTGTCTTGGTAGAGCGTACGATAGGGCAGGGTCCTGGAGGCTCTGCCGGAGACACAGACCCAAGCTCCCAGGCCGAGGTGTGCACGTCACTGCCCTCGGGGATGAGGGGGGCAGGGAGTGTCTGACAGGCCAGGAAGGGGGTCACCATGGTGCTGAATACTGAGAGAAGTTTGGACACTCTCCAGCTAACAGCGGGTGGCCATGTCTTTATGAGGCTGCACATGGAGGCTGCATGAATGGAGAATTGATCTTTTCTATCTCGTCCCTCCCCAGACACCAGGCTGAGCAAAATAAGGCCCCATTCTCTGTGCTGCATCCCAGCCTGCAGGGGGCCGAGCTGCCACGCTGTGGGAGGGTGGTGGTGGCTGGAGGGCTGGGTGGACAGACAGGCAGGCCAGGACACAGCTCCTGCCACACCCGCTGCCTGCCAGCCCCCACCCCTGCTCAAGTGCGCTGGCCTAGACAGGGTTCTTTCGGTCTGTTCTGTGAGCAGGTGAGGGAACAGAAGCTCAGTGGAGAGAGATGGCTCGCCGATCCCCCAAGCTGGGTCTTAGCCAAGGCCTCCTGACCCCACGGCCATTCCCTGCCCTTGAAAATGCCCATGATGGTCAGCCTGATGTGCAGCAGCAGCTGCTCAGGAGACCTGCCACTGGAAGCACAGGTGGACCATCCCCAGCCCTTGGGCACAGAGCCAGACAGGACAGCTCTGTCCCGCCCCACCCTAGGAGGCAGCTTGTGCTGTGCACCCCCAGGAGGCGAGCCCCAGAACCGTTCCACCTTCACTGGGCACACCTGGGGGGCAGCCCCAGAGAATGGGGAGTCCTTTTTGCCTCTTCAAACTAGTGAGCTCATGTCATCCCCCGCAGCACAGACCCAGCACAGACAGGCCTGACCTACCTACAACCTGCACCAGATGGACCTGCCCCATGCCAGCCAGCCGGCCACAGCCTGAGCCCAAGGGGAGGAGGGGACAGCTTCCGGACAGGAGCCCAAGTGGCCAGGCCTGTCTCGCCAGGCTGTCGGCAGCGCAGAGCCAGAGGGACGGGGGAGGTGAGCCTCACCAGCTGCAGCCTCGGCTGCCCCAGCACGCCTGTCCTCTGCCAGCACTGGCCTGCAGCTGAGCTGGGCTGGTCTGACGGCCACGCCAGCCCCCAAGGGCCCTGACCTTGCTGCCTCCTCAGCACATGTGCACACACACTCTTAGACACACAGATACTAACACTCGCTTGCACAAATACATGCATTCACTCGCACATATGCACATACATCTACATACTCACAGGCAGTTAACACCCCAAACTCACAGGCACATACACATTTGCACATCTACCCATGCACATATGCATGCATACACAGGCATACAATATATGCATGTGCCTACTTACATACATGCAGTTACACTCACCCACCCCCCCACACGCACATGTCCACACTCACACTCATATAAACTCACTCGTGCTGGCCTGGTGGTGCACTCCTATCATCCCAGTGACTCAGGAGGCTGAGGCAGGAGGACTGCAAGTTCAAGGCCAGCCTGGGCAATTTAATGAGGCCCTGTCTCAAGATAAAAATTAAAAAAGTAAAAAGGGCTGGGGGAGCAGCTCAGTGGTAGAGCACCCCTGGGTTTAATCTCCAGTACCAAAAAACAAATCCCCCCAAAAAACCCTCACACTCACACCACACACTCACACCACACACACACACGTTGCACACACACTTGACATGCACACTCACGTGCACAGGTCCCACGTGGTGGTGCCCGGGGCTAGGTCCACAGGCATGACGATGGAGTGCACATGACGGGAGATGGTGGTGCTGTGGATGAGTCAGGAGGAGGTGGCCAGGCGTGTGGTACGCACAGGGTGGGGCTCTGGGCTCAAAGACGATTAGAGGCAGAGCCGTCCGGGCGTCCCTGCTCCGGGGTCGGCCTTGGCCTAGCTCTCCTCTCCCACAGCCCTGCTGCTCCCGGGCCTCCTGCCACCCCACCTGGCTGTGCAGCTGTAATCAGTGGAATGCATCTGGCTATGGCCATTCAAGTCTGGGCTCGGGAAAGGGATGATCTGGCCCAGTGCGAGCCAGGTCCTTCTTCCTGGAGTGGCAGGGTGTGGGGACGCCTGAGTCCCCATCTCCCTGCACAGCCCAGGGCTACTCAGTCCCTGCAGGGGGTAGAGGGGTCACCCCACCCAAAGTGCACGGGTGACAGTCCTTCCTCTCCCTCTGCCCGCGGGGGTGGGTCCCGTGGCCTCACAGTCTTCTCTGCTCCCAACGAGTTCCTCTCAGAGCCAAGGGCACTCATGCCCACTCTGGGCCCAGGGTGATGGGGTCTGTGGGACCTGCTCTCCCGTTCTTTCCCTGAGCTGCCCTAGCCACCAGGCATTGACTTCCAGCCAAGTACACAGTGGGGTGTGCACCAGGGCCTGGCCTCAGGGTCCCTGATGACAGCAGGCATGCCGGGGTCCCTGAGGTCACCCCTCCTCTCTCAAAAGGTGCAGGGTTGCAAACCCTCTTCAGCTCCATGAGGGCTCCATCCCTTTTGACCTTGGGATGGCTGCTGGCCAGGGTGAATTCTCTGGGTCCCCATGCCCCCTGGCTGGGCTCAGCTGGCTGTGCAGAGAAGGGTCTCTGTCAGAAGCTCTCTCAGCTCAGGAAAGGAAGGGATAGCCCCTTGCTGCCCAGGATGCCTGGCCAAGGCCCCATCCCAGGACCCCGGATCCCTCTGGGCCCCAGCTGCACCTGCTCTACCACAGCAGAGGGAGGGCCAGGGCAGCGCAGTAGGGTCCTGTCCAGCCCGCACCCACCCCTCCTTTCCGCCCTGCCACGGCGGGGGCTCACTTTGAGGGAGTAGGCCAAGGCGATGAAGCCCAGGCAGCAGAAGTTGAGGTAGACGAAGTTGAAGATGGACCACAGGTAGTAGTCGTTCACCTCGGTGGTGTCCGGGTAGACCTCGATGACGGTCGTGGGGTTCGTCATGGTCTTCTTCTCCGCCAGGTGCTTGCAGGCCTGGGGGCCCCCCGCCACCCGCACACTGTCTGTCTTGCTGCTCTTGGACTCCATGGGGAACAGAGTGGGTGCCATGGGGGGTGAGGCTGAGGGCTCAGTGGCAGGGGCCGCTGGAGCCTGCAAGGCAGGGGGCTTGGACACACAGGCAAAGCAGCCCTTGGGCGAACCTACGGGGGGCCTCGGAATCCAGAAGGCCCCGTCCAGGGGGACTCGGGCTTCCTGGGTGCCGTCCGTGGTGCTGGCCGGGGCTCCCAGCAGGGCTGGGCACTGGCCGGGGCCCTGGGCCTGCAGGGAGGAAGAGAGTAGGAATGAGCTGGGCCCTGCTGGTGGAGTAGCACCCACCCTGGAGCCCTGCAACATCTCCCCTGCAGTGGAGATGGAAATCCTCACCCAGGCAGCCAGCTGCTAGCCTGCCACCTGCCTCCCCCGCCCGCCCCGCCACTGCTAATGCCAAAGCCCTTCGCAGCAGCCTTGGCAGGCACATCCGGCTTTCCATCCTTGCCATCTGCACACACACATTCACCCACCGGCACACACAGACCCCCAGTGCACACCCAACAACACTCTGACATGCTCTTGCAATACACAGAGCACCCGGCTTGGCAGCGGACCTACAATGACACTGCCCTAGTCACTAACTGGAGAAATGAGCAGAGCCCGGGAAGCACCTGCCTACAGACCCAGGCAGATAATCTGCCACAAACCCAGCACCACCGGCCGGGCTCTCCAGTCCCGCACACTCCCGCTGAGACAGCCGGGTAAACAAGGGCCACAGTGACACGCACACACACCGCGACACAGGCCCCCGGCAGTCGCCGGAGGATAAGCACAGGTGCGGGGCTCCAAACTCGCGCGCATCGCCCCCAGCCCCCAGCTCAGCCGAAAGCGGTGTGGGGGAACCCAAGCGCGCCACACACAAGCACAATGACACTCTACCAAATGAACACTTCAAAGAGGCACCAAGGCGCTGGCGCCGCGCCCCCCGGCGCACCGAGCGCGTAGGGGTCTGAGCCAGGCTCCGCGACCCCCGCCCGACCCCGCTTTGCCGCAGGCGCCCGGACGGCGCGTCCTCACCTACTGGCGACTCCGCGGC